CAATTTTGTATTACATAAACCATATTATATTACATAAAAATGGTATAAAATAACTTATAGTTTACACATCATTACATTAAATAATATCTACAACGTGAGGAATGTGTCTTGTTCTTGGTGTCTTGACTTTAAAGACCTATAATTTCAAATAATAATACTTGTTACTATATAACCTTAACAGTTATAACATACAATAAATTATGAATAAAAAATAAAAAATATTTACTTGTTAATTTTCTCATATTCTTTCTTTTTGATCATTACGAATAACATGCACATCATCTTCGTCAACTTCTTCATACGAAGTAGGCATTAGTGTTGCGTAAGAAGGAGTCAAATGAATATCAAAATTTAAATCATGATTTTCATCACTATGAGAAATAGATTTTCATCACATCATCACCATCTTTTGTCATAAGGGTCAGTTACATAAAACACTTTTTTTCTTGGGTAGCCATGATGAATGCTTCGGTCATATAAGTTGTCTTATCAAGGTCAGTTCGTGTGTATCCTAACTCATGAGTTTGTACATAAATCTATTTTTTAACCCACTTGTATTTAAATAATTGCACTTTGGATAAAACCTAATCAATCTCCCAAATATTCTCAATGACCCCAAAGTACACTATATATGTTAATATAGGATTCTTATCTTTCAAACTATAAAAATACATGGATTCAGCCTTAACCATAACCCCATTATTTTGCATTGTACTACGATCATATTTTGATTGTGTATAAAAGGAAAAATCAGTAATGTCATATGCACTCCAAGTAACTAATTAAATTTTTGCATATATGACATCCATTTAATTGTCTCAGATGCACTGTCATCATTAGAGATTATTTCATTAAACCAACTGATAAAACTCTTTTTATGCTCTTTTAACAACCACTTATCACTCATTCGGGGATATTTTTCCTTGATAAGTCTTTTGTGAGTAGATAAGTAAGGTTGAACTTCATCAACATTGTTTAATATATACAAATGTGCAGGAAGAACTATATCTCGTGGCATTGACATAACATTTACATATTTAGTACCTCTACCTCCATATCTGTCAACAAGACGAGGCTTTGAAATTCCTATTGACTATGCTTTCAAAAAATAGTTTGAATAGAATTCAACTGCTTCTTTTGTGGTGTACCTTTCTAGATTGAAGCTTTCAGTCGATGATGATTATCCGTATATCCTTTAAAGATCTTCATGTATCGGTATATTGCATACATCCATCTTAAATAAACTGGACCACAAAGTCTGATATCTCTTACTAGATGATCAATTAAGTGAACCATAATGTCAAAAAATGAAGGGGGAAATACATCTCCAATTGACACAAGATTATTGCAGCCTCATCTTATAATTCATCTAATTTTTTGAAATCAAGAACTCTATTACATGTCGGAGGCAAATAAGTTTTTTGCCTCTGAAAGTTCTTAGCCTCCGACATCGCCACCGTATCTAGACAGAAATTTTTACTATCTTTTGTCTTGCTTGGAATGTTTAGAAGTGTTCTAAGTAAATTGTCACACACACATTTTTCTCCACATATATCACATCAAAATAATGTCTTACATCTAGGCTACACCAATATGAAAGATCAAAGAACACCGATCTTTTTTCCCAACTATTTTTCTCAATGGGCCATTTTTTTATTCTTTCCAAAGATGACAATAAGGCATTCTTGTTATTTATAAACTTCATCTCTACTTAAAAGTTTAGGAGTAATATCAAACTTTTGCTATCCATTAAAATCCTTCTGCAATTTATGATAAGGATGATTGGATTTTAGAAAATTTTGAAACACAAGGTAAACAATTTTTTTTCAAACTGAAGTTGGTGAAAACAAGTATTATATTCACATATAGGATATGCTTTATGTCGTTTGACACTGCATACATCCAAATTAACATATGCAGGAAATTCGTTGTTTATGCAAAATAACATGACACATATTTTAAACTTGTCACCTGAATACGCATCATCAACGTCAATGTCTTCCTCACACAAAAGTAATAAATCTTTAATTAATAGACATAGATAAACATTTATGTCATTTCTAGGTTGTTTTGGTCCCGAAATCATTTTAAATAACGACCTATACTTGCGTTTCATGCACGACCAAAGATATAGGTTGTTAATCGTGAGACGAATAGGACACGAAATATGCTTAATACTCATATTACCAAAGGAATTCATTCCATCTGTGGCAATCCCGGGCCTAAGGTTTTTTGGCTCAATGCCAAAATCCAGAAACAATGAATCAATGTTCTTTCATTGCAAAGAATCAACTGTGTGACAAATTTTTCCATCATATTTTCTTTCATATGTATGTCATCTAATAATCTTTGTATCCTTCACATTAGTAAAAACTCTCTTGAACCTTGGAATTATTGTTAAGTACCATAACACTTAGCATGAGGACGTTTATTGCTAACATCGTCATAGTCATCACCATTGTTGTTCTTCACCTTGTAGCACGACTTACCATGTTTCGGAAATTGATCCAATTTTTCATATTCTTTCCTGTATAATATGCAATCATTACGCCATGCATGTATTTTGATATACTCTAAATTCATTGGACACAATATTTTCTTAGTCTCATAATAAAGATCCAATAAATTGTTATCTTCTGGCAGCATTTGTTTTAGCAAATCAAGCAATTTTGTGAAACTTTTATCCATCCACTCGCTTTTTACCTTCAGATTAAAGAATTTTAATACTGAAGAAAATTGTGTAAAAATTGTGCACCCCTTATATAAGGCGCATCCTCATCACTACATAAAGTATCATAAAGATGAGCTTTAGTAAAAGAAGATTCCCCAATATCACAGATCATATCTTCTAGTCGATCATCTATATCTTCACCAACTTCATGTATTTGTGACGTTGCATTTTGTTTTTTATCTACTTCACTATGTCACGTCCATATTGTATAACTTTGACCAATTTCATCACAACATAGATGATGAAATATTTCTTTCTTTGAAAATCTTTTGATGTTCCCGCATACAACACAAGGACGATAAAAGAGTCCATTATTGTTGAGAAGATTTTGTTCAACATATTCAAGGAATTCAAGAAGTAGTTTCTCATACACCGACATAATCTATCAACAATAAATTCTGAAATTTAAATCAAAAACTTGTAGAATCATTTAACAATACAATAAGAATGAAACTATCTCAATATCACTCAATCACAACAACATATGACATTTAACAACACCAAAACCTAAAACTCAACATGAATGGTGATAATAGAGAACATATCATAACTTTAAAAGGGGGAAGAGGTAAAAAAAATTCGTGTACCACTCATTGTTTTCACTCCTTGATTCCAAGAAATGAATGGTGATGAAGTTTGGAGTTTGGACTTGCTTTCGTCTATTTCGACATCGGTTTCATTTGTTCATTCACTAGGGCGTTGCTTGTGTTATAAAGAAAATAAACTAAATATGTTATGTTTTAATTTTAAAGAAACACATTTCACCACGGTTGAAAAGACCAACCATAGTGAGACATATTAATTTTAGAGAAATATATTACAACGGTTGACTAATACAATCGTGGTGACACAATTTATATATTTTACTATAAAATTGAACAAGCAAGCCATTCACCAATTTCTTAAACCTAAGTCATTCCGCTTTTAACATGCATATTTCATTCTTCAAAAGTTAATAATGTATATTAGAAAATTTGGTTTAAAGATTAATGTTAAGATTCACTTTATCAAGTAAATGTTAAGTTGAATCATAACATATATCTTTAATGTCATGATTTTCATAGAATAAGATAAATGAATGAATATATTGCACACAAGCGTGTCTGAGATTGTTAAAACTGTTACTTTCTTTAAAAACTTAACTTTGAAAAATAAACTCTCTTTGAGTTTGGGAACTTCACTTTTTACCACGGTTATGGTGAAAAGTATTTTAATTTTTATATAACTATAGAAATTGAAGGACACACCCTTTTTGTATAATAAAAAAAATGTTAGGTGTTGGGATTCTAAATCTGTAGGCCTTAACATATCATTGCAGTTGTTAGTAAGGATCGTAATGAAAAGTCTATTAATAAAAAAAATACAGGCATTTAAATAAAAGTTATCAATTTGATTGATTGAAGAGTTTAGGCAATAGCGACAAATGTATTTTATAGTAGTGTGTAATGTTGAGTATGTTGCAGGTGTTGTTGCAACTTGTCAAGCAAATCTCGACTTCAATCCTTGTTAAATGATTTGATGATCTAACCAGAATAATAAATCAAACAACTGATAACAACAAATCATCCATTAATCTTTAAAAAATCCATTGCACACCGGAAGAACAAGTATATAAAAATTAAATTTCATTTTTTAAAAGATCAATTTACACAAAAATATAAATATATATACCAAGACAATATTTACCAAGACAATAAAAAAATGAAATTCATTAACTTGAGGATAAAAGTTTGAGTTATAGTTTTTAACAAATTGAATTAAGAATTAAGAAGAGATGTTTGAGTTTAACTCAAGTATTGAAGTTGTTAGAGAATGCTAATTAGTTAGTTTCTAATTTTAGAAATTTTGTAAAGAAACAGTTACTTAATGTGCAAGTACTTGCTAATCATGACTATATAAAAAAAAAAAAGAAATTTCCCAATAAAATAATTCATTCAATCATGTCTATCTCAACATTATTTTATGTTGGCACATCTCAATCATAGTCAACCACTATTTTCATTCCTTCCATTTAAAAAAATTACTCCAACCAAACAAATAAAAAAGGTTAAAAAGTATAAATTAAAAATTTTAAAAAAATTTTTAAAAAATCTATCTTAATCTCTTTATTATGGTGGGAAATTAAATTAATGAATAGGAGTATCTTAATCTCCATGAATGTGTGAGAAGTGGAAAATCAACACCACACTTTTATTTTGTCTCCTCTTCTCTCTCACTCACTCACTCATTCTATTTCAACTTTCTTCTCTTCTCACACACAACACTACAAATGCACGATCCCGTTTTGTCGTTTTCCTTCATTCTTCTCTTCATCATTTTCATAGCATCCATTATTTCTCTCCGTAAAACACTTTTCAAAAACCCAAAACCCATCTTGACCCGATTCCCGGAAACACCCGACCCGACTCTTCTCTCGCTAACTGATTCTCAAATCCATCAACCCGGCGAAGATGAATCGACTCCGAATGAGACGGCGCCTTTAGGTACGGTACAATCGACTGCATTTTCCGATGATGACTCGAATCAGTGTGAATTGAAGAAGAAAAAGAAGAGGAAGACAAAGAAGAAGAAGATAATATGTTCCGGGATTGAAGATGACGACGACAAGAGGAGTGATGGCGTGGAGAGAGAAAGTTCGGGTTCTGATACCCGACCCGATTCAGGGCGTTTGAACCCGTTTACTTCTTCGAGTAGTGTTATGCAGAAGAAAATCAAACCGCAGTATGATGAGCTAGTTAAATGCAACGACTCCAAGAAATTGACACTCTCACAGGTTTTTCTCTCTTTGCGCGTGTGTAGTGTAATAGTTGTTGTTATTACGGTATGAATTAAATTCAGGTGCATTCAATGTTAATCACATGAACCAATTAGTACTAATTAATTCACTACCTTTTGGTGTTATTGTTTAATTTAAGAGGTACTTGTGTAACATAAATACACACTATTAATAGTAGATTCGAGTAGAGTAGTGCGAATTCAGAATTTTAGATATTCCGTTTTAAAATAATTGTCGTTCGTTTCAAAATGAATGTTATTCTTACTTTTCAATGTAGAAATGACTGTTGTTTTTCAATTGTATGTTCTTCGTGGATGGCTTTAGGTTTAAAATCATGATGGATAATCGTTTCATTTTCTTCGTTACCGTAAAATGTCAATCTCTTTTGTTTCAAAATGCAGGTTGTACAGTTTGCAAATAGTTTGGTTGCTGCTAGGAGTGAGCTGCAACACAAGTATGTCCTAAGAGAACCAGCTTCGGATTGGTTTTCTTGTGTCTTTTACACTTTTTGAAATTTATACATGATAACATTGCGTATTTCTGCTTGTGTTTGCTGCTATGGTGAGTCATGAGCGCAATCAGAACTAAGAATTAGTTCATAATTTTCATCTATCTATTTATATTTTCATGATAAGTTACATAGTTTTGATATAATCATATGGTTAAACTCAATTCTTGTGAAACTCATTTAGAATTTCGACTCACTTTGTCGGAGGATATATGCAAATTCAATTTTTTCCGTTGAACGGGACTTGAATTCCGTACTACTCTTCTCAAGCTGAGCATGTTTTATGATATCGCATGTTATTCTGATTTTCTTTGTGCTCTCTTTCTGTAACAGGGCTGATGTGACACAACGCAAGTTTGTGATAACAAAGGCTTTACTATGCAAAGCAGACAGGTCTTCTATCAACCGACTTCGACAACAGGTTGGTTTGAATATTTGATAGCAGTATGTGTCAACTCTAGGGAAAACTTTGTTTGTCATACACTACAATGAGTGTTTGTTTTTTCGACATTTCAGATATACAAGCTTGAATTAGAGCAAAAACGATTAGAAGAGGATGCGTTTGTTTATAATTGGCTTCAACAACAGCTTAAACTCTCACCAGCATACAACAAGGTACTACACCACATGCTCTGCATTTTATCAATATGACATTTTGTGGCTTATGGAGTATAATTATAATTATTTTTACTGGTTTTCTATTTTTATCCTAACAATATTGTGTATGTTGTTTTTTCATTATAGATTTTGTGTATTAACTAACATTTTGTTATGCTATGATATTGCTAATTACACATTCCTTGTTGTCTATACAGATGCTTGAAATTGGAGTCTCCATGGAGAAGGAGAAATCCTGTAAGATGGGAGAGAGAAGAGAAGATGAATTTTCTGACATTTCTTTTGAAGAATTATTAGCACAAGAAAAGAAGGATTCATTTTGGTTAGTTGTGTTTCATTTCTTGTTTGCAAAGGTTAAAGAAAGAATGCTCTTGTTAAGGAATCAAAAATGATTTATTTTCAAAGTGTAACTTCAAATAGTGCATTATTCAACAAGAAAACAGTTTTTGATTCCTTAATTGGTGTCTTAGAGAGTTGGCTAATGCTTATCAATAACTATTTTTTGTATTTTGACAGGCAAAGAAATGGGAAATCAAAATAATGATCAGCCTAATGACATTGCTAGTTTAGAAAATTTAAATTAGTGTTAGTTTAGAATTTAAATCCAAATGTTGTGTTTTGCCATGGCAATTCCTTTTTGGTTCTTTTCATATGCTATTTTTGGTGGTTATATGAAATATAGATGACACATGTTTTGAGTTTCTTTTAGAAATTTGGATGAATGTAACATTTGCTACAAAATATCATTTGTTTCATATTACTAATATTTATGTATGTCATTCTCTAATCTATATTGCATTGCTGTATGTCATTCTCTAATCTATATTGCATTGCTATGCTACTTCTCTATAATTTCCAATTCTTTATTTTCTGTGAGGCATCATCACTTTAATATCTCCTACCACCACTTCATATCAATAGATGTTTTTTTTCTTCATTGAATGTTGAGGCTATTAATAACATACTAAAAGACCGATTATCTATTTATTATATTTATCATTGTATCATAGGCTTAATTGAACCTCTTTAACTCTTCTCCAATTTAATAACGTCTATTCTTTTTCTTCTTCATATAAGATATGATTCTAGTTCAAACTCGTTTATAGTATTTGTTAAATTCTTCTAAAAAATGTTGCTATTCTCTATAGTCCTGCCAGTTCGAGAAATTAATCTTTAAAGTTGTGTATATAAAAGATATTTGATTAATACAAAATAAAAATATACATCAACAAGGTTTTCTCTTTAAACTTCAAATTTATCCGAGCACGTCCATCAAATGCATATCCTATGAAACTTTACTTTGTTCATCAAAATTATGTGTTGCCTATTATACTATTGAGATATAAAAACCTCTTGTCTCTCATTCCAAAATAATAATAAAAAACTAAAATTTAGGGATTGAATTTCATCAAAAGTACTGTGTATAAAAACCTCTTGTCTCTCCTTCCAAAATAATAATAAAAATCTAAAATTTAGGGATAGAATTTCATCAAAATTACTTTGTTTTCATAGTGATCTCCATCAAACATGAAATAAAGAAACTAAAGTATTATATATTATAGTAAACGTCGACTCAACTAAAACAATAAGAAGAGTAATTTCTTCCACTCACATTCATGCCTCTATTACAGATTATTTGCACGATGACCATGTAAAGGCAACATTCAAATAGAATGGGTGAAAAATCACAATTATATAATGAAATTGCATAATAATATGTAAGCATATGATTATCACATAGATAATCACCCAATCCACAATTCACACTCCACACAAACCAATGATAATAATACAACATGTATGTAATGCAATGAGACTCCACTCCATGACTCAATGTATGTGGTACCAAATGTGAATTCTCAGGTTCACTCGCTCCTGATCCTCACGATAGGATCAGAGCACACCAGAAATCTTTATTATCATCATAGGTAACGTTTCACCGATTCCCACCTGGAATCAACTACTCGCACCAAATTCCCACCCTATGATTGAGGGTCACCAAAAGCGGACCACCGTCCAAACACCATGATGCATGATTCATAAATGACATGCAAACAACAACAACATGTACAATGATATTCACCGTAACCAATGCACCACACCAAAACTGGTCACCAAACCAAACATATACTGCAAGCACTCAACAATAGCATTATAGTAACATAGCAGGTAACAACATATCATCCACACATATTACTATCACACAACATATACATAACATATCATACAACACCATCACGCAACATTTAAAAAAAATTCAAGCACTAAAACAATTTTTAAATTAAAATAAATTGTGTCAGCTTTCTAACGCTTCCAACGATACTTCAAACGGACACCCGAAACTCAAGTTATAAAATATTTTAGTTTGACACAGCAGGTGTAACCGGTTACACCAAAACAGGTAACTCGTTACAACATGACTAAAAACAATGAGCAGACTTTCCTAGTGTAACTGGTTACACCAAAACTGGTAATTAGTTACACCCCTCAAAAATGCCAAGATCACGCTTTTTATAGATAGTGTAACCGGTTATACCAAAACCTGTAATTGGTTACACCCTTAAAAAATCAGTTTTTCTTTAATCTGAGGTACGAAAATCAGTTCCAAAAACTCCCAAAAACCTCAATTTTTCATGAAAAATCATTTACTCAAGTTTCATATTCTAATTCCCAACAACACACAACATCTCAATTATTCACTCATCCATAATTCATCCAACACACACCATAATAGCAACATCACACATATCAAATAATTCACAACATAGAGAAGAAATTGCAACACAAATATACTAAAACACCTAGCTACATGTTATCATGCAATCTTTTATACAAGAGGAATATCCACCCTTACCTTAGATTATCGCTAGAATTTACTTCTCCTCTTTACTATAGAAGGATACTCCCTTGATTCCTATGTGCCTTAGCCTCTTTCTCCTTTCTCGCAAACTTTTCACATTCTGAACGTTATTCCCCTCTTTTCTTATTTAATTATATTATTTTTAATTAAATCTTATTCCAACTAAATAAAATAAATATTATTTCTACTAAATATTTATTTTAGTAATTCTAAATCAAATATTTATTTCATTACGTCACTATAATAATAATTAAAATAATTATTTAATTATAATTATCACTATTATTTATATAAATTGTCCTAATTCAAATAATAGCAACATCTGATACTTCTCCCACCACCACCCATAACTCTACATTTTTACTCACACGCCCCCAACACCTTAAATTCTAATATTTAAGGTTGTCACTCTACACCCAAGGGTTCCTATAACACATTAAATCATCAACCAACACATACAATCACACAATTTATTTACGAAAATTAATTAAATGAATCAGGACGTTACACATCCCCCTTCTTTATTTCGAGCAAAACATACAAACTCTTCTCAATTAACTTTTATGTTTTGTTACAAAAAATAGTCACTTCTAAATTTCATTTCTACTTCATTCAATTAAAATGGTTTGTTAATTTCTACTATCAACATCCAATTAATCGAAGTGCTCAATATCAAACACATTAGGTAAGTATTTTAATCCAAGTATTTTTCACATTTGATGCAGATGTGCCAACTTATGGGATTCATGCATCTCCGACTTCGTCTTCCCAAAGGAGGTAGGTGTCACCTACTGTTGCCCCAAAAGCTCCCATCTGTCCAGGTTGATGCACCAGTAGTCGGAGCAGTCGTTCTCGAAGAATTTTATGGAGGCTCGTATGACAAATCACTCCTGCCTTTGTATGTGGGATATGTTTTCAGGCACGTGCGTAACGGGAGGTAAAGTTTATTTGTATTTATTATTTGAAACACATTTTTTATAATATTCCAATTTTCTGACGATAATGTATTTTCTTGCAGTACCACGATGCTTTAAAATGCATCAACCATGGCCGGAAGATTGCAAGGATGCATTAGCCTGAGGAGCAGCGGTTTCATGATTCTATACAACTATTTGGGCTGCGAGGTTTATACATGATCAGTTATACTACCATAATGAGATAACCATCACACTGAAATCTCATATTTTCATCTTCCGCATAATGAGATAACCATCACACTGGATGATGTATCATGCATGCTACATCTTTTGATCAAGGGAAGATTATTAGACCATTTCAAGATTACCAGATTTGATGCATTGGAGATGATGGTGAAATATTTGGGAGTTAATCTAAATGATGTCCTAAAGAAGATAGAAGACATCATTGGGTGTCATGATAGATTTGGATTTCTAGAGAGCATGTATGAACACCACCTAGTTAAGGTAGTGTCAGTCGAGGGTGATGATGAACATGTTTTGTATTATAGAGAATGTACATTGAGGTCATACCTCATGTACTTGGTTGCCACGTCCATATATTATGTGGATGTGCTTTATCTTAGATATTTCACTAACTTGGGGCAGATTCATAAGTACAACTGGAGATTCATAAGTCCAAAAGTTATGTAAACCAAATATATTAATGTATAACTTTTTACTTTCATTCAACTTTAATATATCTTGATTTTACTTTAATATAAATCTATAAAAAAATTACAATATTGTGACATTGGTGTTGTTCTGAAATGATTTAATGAATTTTCGAAGATGTATCTTTAAAATAAGTTTTCTTTGCTATTAACTCTCTTCCAGTGTGTGTTAAAAGTCTTCAGGAGATATTTCAGAGATACATCTTCAAATACACTCAAATATCATACGGAGATGTATCTCCAGACCATTCTTTGTTCAAATTGGAGTGTATCTCAGAAAAAATACTTGTTGGAGTGATTTTTGGTGCTTTCAAAAAATATGAGATGCAGGTGTAACAAACAATTTCTATTTATTAAAGCGGCATCCCATTCTATTTGTTCAAGTCATGATTGATACCGTTCACATTTAGTCATAAATTTTTAGACGAGTCACTCTAGATAAGCTCCCTTTGGTAAAATTCACTTATATTTTACATGAATTCTAAAAAAATTAACTAGATTTATTCTTATTTAATGTAAAATTAGTATTTTTTTTTTTACTTAAAAATTAACTAAACTTATTCTTACTCAATGTAAAACTATTTTTTTTTCCTTATGAATATGATTGGATGGCACAACCTCAATATTATGGTGGCATTATATGTAATTGCGATGTTTAAAAATTAATTCTTGAAATATTTTTCTAATTTATTTATCAAAAAAGTAGATTTATAATACAAACTTTTATAAAGGAAGGAAATACTAATTTCTTTCTTTACTTTAAGATAATTTTAACATTTTAAATATTTTAATACTCATCCGCACCTTGCAAAGATCACAGTCTAGTTGTATATTAGTGTACGACTAATTTTCACTAACTAACCGTTTCATTTCTTCTCCCTATTTTTTTGTTTATCTCTTAATGCTATAATAGAAAGAAAACAAAAACTTAAAACATGTTTAACTAATGTAACACAATTAAGAAACACTACAATTATTTTTATATATTTTTTCTACCTCGTAAAACAAGATAAAAACATAAGATAATTAGTGCATGTGGTGCCTGATGCTCCTGTGTTTATGAATTCATATTGAATGCAGAGTGATGAACCACACAGCTTGCATGGATAGTTTTACCTTTTACCAGAAACACTCATCGAAGTCATGTCAAAAAATTCAGATAGTAGAACACTACAGTGGTGGTAAGATCCCTTCCAAGATAATCCTTTTACAGTGACAAGATTTCGACCAGATTTCTGTCAGCTAATGTCAAACAATATTTAAAATATGCATATATCTCATTTGTTCCTAATGTGAAACATTCCTTGACAAGACTAATTGTTGATCTAGAATCTCATCACTACTACATTAAACATGCAGATATCTCCTCATTACTTTTGAAACTACCACAACAGTATTTGAAAACAGTGCAACAAATTAACAGTAAATTGCTACCCTAACAATAAACAAAATGGGTTTTCAAGACTAGGGGGAAAGAGAACTTCCCAACAGTATTTGCTTCCAGTCCTCGAAATCTTACAGCCACTCAAGTTCCATCCACTATATGACGCTTGGAATCAATCAATCTTCACAGAAGAATAGATTTTGCGGACAAACCAGAAGCAAGCGTAGAATCCAATAGTTCCAGTCACAACAAAGAAGGCATATGAAACAATAATCATATACCCAAAGTAAAGGATGCCTGAGACCAGCTTTGTAATCTCCAATTTGGTAAAGAAGTAGAAAATTGAATAGAGGAAAAGGTAAACAGCTGATGACCCGGCAGTGAGGTAAGATCTCCACCACCAATTGTAGTCTTCACTGCACAACTGGAAGTAGCAAAGCACGACCGTAATCTCTGCACACGTGATCAATAGGATGATGAACACAATGAAAAGGAAGCCAAAGATGTAGTAGAACTGGTTCAGCCATATTGATGTCAGGATAAAGAAGAGCTCGATAAACACAGCACCAAAGGGAAGAATGCCACCAATCAGAATTGAGAAGACAGGTGTCATGTACCATGCCTGCTCAGGTACCTGCCTAGGAATTTTATTAGTCTTAACAGGGTCTTCAATTGCTGGCTTTTTAAAACCCAGGTAACTGCCCACAAAGACTAAGGGTACCGATATACCAAACCATAAGCACACTAGAGCAATCATTGTTCCAAAGGGGACTGCCCCAGAGGACTGCTCCCCCCAGATCAACGCATTCAGCACAAAGAAGATAGCAAAAAGAATGCCCGGGAACATAAACGCAGTTTTTAAGGTATTCCTCTTCCACTCTGTGCCCTTGAACATTTTGTACAAACGCGCCGAGGAGTAGCCAGCAAATAAACCCATGAAAACCCACAGTAGAACCATTGCAGTCATGAGACCTCCACGATTAGATGGAGACAAGAACCCTAGCAAAGCAAATATCATTGTCACAAGTGTCATTCCAAAGATCTGAACACCAGTACCAACATAAACACAAAGCAAATTTGAATTGATTGGTGGCCTGAAAACATCTCCATGAACAAGCTTCCACCCTGTTTCTTCTTGGGCCTCATCTTGGGTTTCTAGCTGGTTGTAATTGGCAATGTCTTTGTAAAGTGTTCTCATCATGATCATTGCCACCATTCCAGAAAGGAAAAGAACAATCATCAGAGAGTTAATGATGGAGAACCAGTGGATTTGATCATCATTCATTAGAAGATATGTGTCCCACCGTGATGCCCATTTGATGTCACTTTCCTGAAAAAGTACCACCAATCTTAGCTCATAATATCATATAATGGACGGGGTGGAAATTGATTTGTAGCCAAACTTTTAACCGGCAATACCTTAAAGGAAACATCATATGTGAATACTATATCTTTGTTTGTATCAACTTCTTGTGGCACAGTACTACCTTGCAACAAATTCTTGGTATCTTTATTGCATGTTGTAACCTGTGGATTCTTGTCATTCCACTCCTTGTATTCATGATTAATACTGCTCAGTTATAGAATTCAAGAGAGAAATTCAAGATATGAGAAAGAGGATACAGGTAACTAATAGCTGATTCATATGATATCTATGACAATGTTTTATTTCTTCAAAAATATATATATCACAACAAAGGTAAGATCTATTAGAGAACTAGTCACATGATCTGTTCATTTTCATTGTTTTGCCCAACATCCTATTCTTGTTCCAGATATAACATAGAACAACAAAGTTCAAACATGTGATGCTAAATTAAGAATGCAACACCCCCTAAGCAGAAAGAGGAATAAGGAGAAAAGAACAAGACCTGTTTGGTGTAACCTCAAATCCAACAATACGAGCAGAACCGGTTTCAAGATCCTTGTGATACATGACTCTAAAACTCAAGTGGTTATTGATAAAATATTTCTCCTCCTTGCTCTATATGAAATTGGAAATTCTAAAAATTAGGGAGACTAAAATGTTACTAAAAATTTTATTATAGAAGCAATTCCTGAGTTAGCGAGTTATACCCCTTGATATTTTCCTTTGAACCCAACACGAAAACCGTGTTCATATGTTGTAGATTGACTTCCATCCCTTCTTTGTCTAAGAACAGCAACTGGAAGGTTATCCAAAACCCTGCAAGTTCAATTAAAAGCTTTAAGGCTCAAGAGAATAAGATTCGGAAACATATAGCCAAGCCAGAAATCGGCCAACAAATTTTACAAAAGTTATTTAATGAAACTCAAATTCATACTAAATAACTAAGCACCAACTTCAATATATTCATCACTTACATGTTCACTCGATATTCATCATCAATTTTTTCTTTAAAATTCTTTGCAGACTCAGCATCCAAAGTTTGATGGCAAGTAACAGTACAGGACTGTTCCGTCCTCATATGAAACTAAAACGAAGAAAGAAAAAAAAACAAAATCACTTAGGCTAACATCACAAAACAAAACATCATGGTCGCTGAATGAAAAACTATCCGATGGATAATGGATGAGGTAACAGATACCCACCGTATATATTGAGTTTTCAATGCGATCACCTCGAAGAACCTCTCCCAAATTTTCTGCACTGTTCACAATCTTGGAAGGTTTGCAATACTTCAAGTAATAGTAGTCATAAGGAAGCTGAGTCTTTGTGGATGACAATTTGTTCACTTTGACATAGAGATCATCTCCCTGTTCCCACAAATGAACTCATAAATCAATATCTTCAAGCCCATGTAATAATGAAAAATTCTCAATCCACTCTTAAAACTCAAGGGTTTTCATCTAAGGGTCCTTTCGGTAGCGTATTTTGGCAGGCTTGAGCATATAGCAGGTGGATTGAGAAACTCCCTGCAGTAATACTATAAACAAAACAAAAATGGAAATAAAACGTTTTCCATTTCAACCAAACCCTCCAAAATGAAAAAGGGAACAACTACTATGTTTTCTTTCTTCTATTTTCTTCCTTGAAATGAAATTTTTTAAAAACAGTTTCACCACTCATTATCACATTTGAGGAGTAGCTTCAAAACAGAAAGAGTAAGATTGAAACAGCAATTAACAGCTAAATGTGTTTGGTTCAGTGTTGCATTATACCATAATTGATTTTGTCTATAACAATCCACATTAACGATAAGTGCCAAAATTGCTTCCAAAAAAACAAATTAAAAACAAAATTATTCCAACACAAATCACTCCGCTCAAATTTCAACACTATAACCAAATCAATTATACAAAACCTAAATCATATTCAAACCAAACACAAATTAAATCTTCCATGACATAAAATCAACAATCAAATAAATAGAAAGAACAACGATTAGACGTAGATCAGAGCTAAAACCCTAGATCCGAACAAATTTAAAAGCGATATATAAAGGATGAAATGACATGGCGTAGAAATTGAAAAATGAAGGGAAATGGAGAGGAGAAATGGAAAACATACGGTTTGGAAATCGCGGGGAGCAACGCCGGGAAGGTAGAAGGAATGGACGGAGGAGATGAGGATGAGGAAAGTGGTGAAGAATACGGTGGTGCATCCCATCTTCTCCTTCATCTGAGGTGAGAGAGAGAAAGAGAGAGAGCGAAGAATGAAAAATAAAATGGAAAATGAAATATGAAGAAAATCAATTAGGTGAGTATGTTACTGCCTGGTTACTCTAACTCAACGCACTAGATAGAGACATAATATTCCTTCATTAATCCTTGTAATGAATGTTTAAATAATTCTAACAATTAGAAGTTTATAAAAAATATATATAATTTTTGTATAATCATTTTTGTAGTTAATGATATAATAAGAAAGAAAAATAGATTTATTATTGAAAAAATCATTTATAAAAAAAAACGGATTTGAGGATTCGCACTCTAAATACTTTTATAAATTAAGGGTAAAACCAAATATATTAAAAAGAAAAATAGATATAAAAATGACGGGACATAAAGTTAAATTTTAAATTAATATAATTTTAAAATTGTAGAATTTAAGTTTGTTTCTGTCGAAATCAAATTTTACATAAGAGTGTGTATATCTGACCACCATGTAAAATTAGTAACTAATAAATCTAAACTAGCTAATCTATCTACACAATGATTATCCTCTCAAACAAATATGAATAGTAAAAAATTTAAAATCTTTGATCAACAACAAACAATTGTCCCATCTATTTCGAAGCTTCCAATGTATAATAGAAGAGTTGCTAAATGTCTTAACAAATTACAGAGAATCCGACTCCAACCTGAGATTACACCAATTATGAAAAATAGTTTATTTCAAAGCCAAAATAGCACCTATAATTTCAAGAAGAAAAAAAACATTATAAGAAGGTAAATTGCAAGCAAAACTACCTAAATGATCCCCACAATGAATACGGAACATACCACAACAAGCCGCTTTAATCAGAGAACCACCAGAAGCACCGTCAACGTTAACTTTAATCCATCTGACTAAAGAATAACACCACAAAACCTCCTTCAAAATAATAGGACTAAGAGGGTGAATTTGAACATCAAAATTCTTTAAAATTCGAAACTCCCACATATTAGAACTGGCAGCTGCATTACAAGAGTTTTCAGCTAAAAAAGTCAAAGAAAAAAATGGAAGCACAAGACTTTTTCCTAGGAATAACAATATTCTGAAATCGGGTCTGGTTACGAGCATGTCAAATCACCTTTAGCGTATTAACGAATGTTGTCGTTATGACGACCTTGCATTGGGAAGCAACATTATTGCTCATAATATTCTTGCAGTCCTCCAAACAATAAATATTACACCGAATATCAAGCAACCGAGACAACCAATTCCAAGTAGCAGTTGCATATTTACAAGAGAAGAAAAGATGTTCCAAGTTTTCCTCACCTTTAGCAAATGTTGCACGTGGAGGGGAGAAAGAGGCCTCTAGTCGTGAGTTTATCGTCGGATGGCAGCTTAGCAAGAGACAATCTCCAAAAAACCAAAGAATTTGAGCGGTGTAGAAACTTCAGATAAGCCTACCTCAATCTGAAACAGTGGGTTGGCTGTTGTAATGCTTGTAAGTGACTTTAGTTGTGAAAATGCCATTATCAGTAGAGCATCATCTAAGGGTATCTTCAGGCTTGACATTGGGAAGTAAATTCTCCACCATCAACGAGAGCTTCAGGTGCAACGAAACTAATCTGTTAGGTAGAAGAATACAGTTGTTTACAATGATGTCACTCAACAAAGCTTTTAAATCATGGTGCTTGTCTTTCGGAATATGGATAAGAGAAACTAAAGACTAACTGCACCAATTATCTTTCCAGAGATTAATATTTTTCCCGTTACCAATATAGCAAATAGAACTTTATTTCACTTTAGGAATGTATGCTTTCAAACAGAACCAGATTGAAGAGAAAGTGTGATACCGCACCAAATATATGACTTATTAAAAACATACCAACATTATTCTAGATTTGTTGCTTCATTGATAGATCTAAGTGATCTTAACCCCACGTAACCATTATTGTAAGTCTTACAACATTGATTCAATGCCACTGTAACGAGCTTCCTTTTATGGATGTCCGCATTCTAAATAAAATTCTGACACCATTTATCAACCATGTGAATTAGACTAGCAGGCCAATAATATATTCTGACATTAATAAAGGAGCATGTTGTGAATAACCGACTTGACCGATTGAATCCTACCGACAATAGTTAATAGACTAGCCTTCTAAGACGCAAGCTTGGCTATGATTTTATCTATAATCGAGAGAAAATGGATATCTTTCAGGCTCCCTTTGAAAATGGGGACTCCTAAATAAGAGAACGACAACTGCCTCTTCAAGAAACTAATCATGTTGGCCAAAAAAGAGTGTCAAGAAGCCGAAACCGAAACTGAACCAGCAAACAGAAAAGATTTAGAAGGGTTGCAAACCTGGCCTGAATAGGAGGCGTATTGCAAAAAACAATCAACAATGGAATCAAGAGAGCTAGTGCAGCCTTTGACAAAAATGTATAATACCGTCCGCATACAAAGTATAATAAAGAATTATGCTACCCCTGAAAGCTTGAATTAACTTGATTTTATTTGAAGAAACTAGTTTGACACCTTTACGACAACTAAAAGAAACCTGCATAACAATAATGGAGAGAGAGGATCACTGTGTCTGACACCTCTGCGACAACTAAAAAAACCTTGCAGAACAATTACGGGGAGAGAGGATCACCTTGTCTGACACCTCTGCGACAACTAAAAAAATTGTGCAACTCGTCATTAATGGAAATGGAAACCTTGGTAGATTCAAGAATAATTTTGATCCATAAGCAAAATTCGCCACTAAATCCAAACTGCTCGAGAACTTTAAGAAGAAATACCCAATCCAATGTGTCAAACGCCTTAGCAATGTCAACCTTCAAAATTAAGTTACCTCCCACAAATTTTGTGTGTGAATAATATTCGCCACTTCTGACGTTAGACATATGCAATCTTTTATACTTATCCCTTGTGTGAAACCCTTATACTCGTTGGATATGATGAAAGGAAGCACTCTAGCCAATCTTTCTGCCAGGATTTTTGAAATGATTTTAAATTTAAAATGTGTTAGGGAAATATGAAGGAGGAGAAAATGTTAATAGACCCTCAGTCTTAGATGACGCCAACTATGACTATTGGAAGACACGTATGGTGGATTGCCTAAAATCTATGGATAACAAAACATGGAAAGTTATCACCAATAGTTGGGAACATCCTATGGTTAAGGATAAATATGGGAAGGAGACTTTGAAGCCAGAAAAACACTGAACTAAGGAAGAAGATGAAATTGATCTTGGAAACTCCAAAGCTTTGAATGCCCTATTCAATGGAGTTGACAAAAAATTGTTTAGGTTAATAAACACTTGTATTATGGCCAAAGATTTTTCTTGGAAATTTCTCAAGACCACTCGTGAAGGCGCATCTAAGGTGGACTTCAGCTGCTCACTATCAAATTTCAAAATCTAAAGATGAAAGATGATGAAAGCATTCGTGACTTTCACATGAATGTTCTTGAAATAGCAAATGCTTTTAGTGCTTTGGGAGAAAAGATATCAGAAGAAAATTTGATTAGGAAGATTCTCAGGTTTCTACCCAAGAGATTTAACATGAAGGTAAAAACAATTGAAGAAGCCCAAAACATTAGCAGCATGGGAGTAGATGAACTTGTTGGGTCACTTCAAACTTTTGAATTGACTATTAGTGACAAAACTGAAAAGAATAACAAAAGTATAACTTTTGTCTCTAACACTGAAGCTGAAGAGGAATAATGTGACATGGACACTGATAAAGGAGTGTCAAATGCCATTGTACTGCTTGGAAGGCAATTCAACAAGGTGCTGAAGAGAATGGACAAAAAGTAAACACATAATGTCAAGAGCATCATATCTAACATCAGCAAGAACTATGATTCTTAAATAAAAGAAAGAAAAGAAGAAAGGTCCAATCAAAGTAAACGGGTTCAAGGTCATGAATGTGAAGGCTTTGGACACATTAGAGCAGAATGTCCTGCCTATCTCAAGAAACAACATAAGGGGCTGCCAATTTCTTAGTCTGATGATGAAAGTGAACCTTAGGATGAATATGCTAAACTTGCAACTGCTTTAACTGAAGGTGGGCTTCTGATGAAGACTCGTGTGATGAAGAAACTCCATATGATGAACTGGTTGTCTCTTACAAAGACATGTGAATTATAAGGGACAAGCAGAAGGAAACTACTTCTCAACTACATACTGAAAAGGAAGAATGTTTATCCACTATCTATGGACTGCAGAATGAGGTGACCCTGTTGACTTCCAAACTTGAAAAAATAATTAAGTCTGTAAGAATGTTGAACAATGGTTCTGATATGTTAGATGAAATTCTCCAAGTTGAAGAAAAAAAAGGTTGGAAACTTAAAAGGCATATGTTTTGATTATCAATCTCTGAAAGGAGACGCCATGTAACAAAATTTATTCCTCCTAAAAGGAAGCCTGAGCCAGTGATGTCTAATCAAATGTCTCAACATTGTGCCAGACATCAGAATACTCAAGTTGGAAGCAAGGTCTTGCACTGGAGATGTCACTATTGTTGTAAGTTTGGTCATATTAAAATGCTTCAAACTGTATGGCTATCCAAAAGGTCCAACACAACCTAAGGTTAATCTAGTAGTGATTAAAACTAGAAAATAATGGATACCCAAGGAAGCCATTACTTCTCTTATTGCTCACACATCTCTCAGAGCTTCAACTATAGAAGATTGATATTTTGATAGTGGATGTTATAGACATATGATTGGAGTAAATAAGTTTCTAGTGGACATTAAGTTCCAATCCACCAGTTATGTCACTTTTGGTGATGGTTCCAAAGGTGAAATTAAAAGAGTTGGAAGACTGGCCTGTACAAGATTCCCTGGTCTTGATAATGTTCTCCTTGTAAAATGACTGACTGCTAATTTGATAAGCATAAGTAAGTTGTGTGATTAAGGTCTGAAAGTCAATTTCACTGAGTTTGAATGTTTGGTAACTAATAAGAATGATAAAGTACTGATGAAGAGAGTCAGGTCTAAGGATAATTGTTACTTATGGACACCTCAATCAACAAAATGTTTCCTCACGTGTTTGTTGTCCAAGGAAGATGAAGTCTAGTTGTAGAACCAAAAGCTTGGCCATATTCACCCGAAAGGGATAAAGAAGATTGTATCTACAAAAGCTATCAAAGGCATTCCTAAGCTCACGATAAAGGAAGGAAGAATCTGTGGTGAGTGTCAAGAATGTGGCCATTGAGAAGTAATTGACTGATATTTTCACCAAAGCTTTAAATGTGAATCAGTTTTAAAAACTAAGAGGTGAATTGTTCATTTTTGAGGAATTATAACAATTAGTTTTGTTGGGGAAGGAGATAAGGAAGAGAAAGATGTTGTTGCTGGTGATATCACATATGCATTTGGTGTTGGCTAATTTATGGATAAAAAGGGGGAGTAACGGTGTTTGGTTTTATGCTTTAATATGTTGTAGGGATCTATGTGTGAGGAGGAGAACAGATCAGGGGGAGAAGCATGGGAATGATTTCTCTTTCTTCGTGTTTTCTTTTGTGTTGTTGGGAGGTCAATGTTGGTGGTGCTGGGATGTCATACTATATGCCCTGATATCATTTCTTGCTTGGGAGAATTTATTTTTCTCTACTTGTCTGTGAGAATTTTTTTCTCTGTAGGATATTTTTTGTGTGTGTAGCACTTGTGTGCTTGTGTCTGGTTAGCTATGAATGGGTAATGTCGTGACTGTGCTCTTGAGTATGAGTTTGTGATTCTAAGTGATAGGGGGAGTAAGATCTGAACTACTGTTCATGTCATTCAGGGGGAGTTTTCTTGTATGATGCTTAGGCTTTATAAGTGTGGTTGTTGTGTTTTTTTTGTGATGCCAGACACGATGTTCTGACATTGTATTTCAGTTGTTTGAGGATCTTGGTTGTGAGAGTTTATTTCTCTCTGAGTGTTCTTTTTCTGTGAGGCTGGGTTTCTACCTTATTTTTGTTGCGTATGCCTCTGGTTTGGTCTACCAAGTTTGTGTGTGGTTTTTATCTTGTGGTTGTTGCTGTTGTGTTTGTTTTTGTTTCTCTAGTGTTTCTCCAGTATTTCATGCAAAGCTTTTTTTTAAAGTGCGAGATTTTTTATGGTTTTAGTTCACACTTTGTCGCATTCCAAAGAGGGTCATTTTAGGAACATCAGTTATGTGCCAGAAGTGCATTTGTTCCATAAAAAAGATCTTAGAGACTTTCTAGGAAACTTTCTATTTTGTTCTTATTTTCATGCAGAAGATTTGCGGCTGCTGTTTTGGGATATGCATTTTATTTAGATGAAGAATCCAAACTCATGCTGATCTAAAGATATATAAAGAGCTGTTCTAAACCTAGTGGAGTATCGAAGCCATGTATTGAAAGAAAAGTTTTAGGGTTTAGTGTGTTCTTTGTTATTTGTGATCCACTGTTATATAACTTTGATATATGAGTTGAACTGTGTTCATTGTTCATTTGTGAGTCATTCTTGTACCTCTTAGGTACTTGAATTGGACTGTGTTTGAGTTGTAATCGCTCATAAGCTTTTAAGCAAGAGTGAATTTTGTGCCATTGGAAGTGTGTCTCTTACTGTTCATTGTTATTGGTTTAATCATTGTTGTGTGATTGAAGGGAAGCGAAATGGGTCTAATACCTAGGATTGTCTTAGATAGAAATATCATGGGTAGTGATTATGTGAGAAGATTGTAAAATTGGAGGTTGTTTACTTAGACTTAAAACTAACACTATTATAATTAATTTCCTTTCTGACTTGGATGCCCCCACATGTAAGTGATGTTGCACCGGACTGGATTAACAATTGACTGTGTTATTTACATTCGGTCATTTACTTTAATTGCATAATTGTTTGTGTTGGCATACTATCCTAATCCCAATCTCGTGACATCTTACTCGACATCTGATATTTGATTACCAGAATTTCATTATTATTTTTTAATTAATTATAATTATTAATCAAGCATTCTCCTACTAACTTTTAATAAATAAACAACCACCAACTTTAAAAAGTTTAAAAAGTTGCTAAATCATTTAAGTAAAATTTGGCCAAAATTAAGATTGATTGAGTAATTTCATTTATCAATATTTTATTATTATTATTATTATTATTTTATTTATTTATTTTATTTATTTTTTATTTTTTAACAAATTATAATTATTAATCAAGCATTCTCCCTCTAACTTTTAATAAATAAACAACCACTGACTTTAAACAAGTAACCAATAAAATCTTTTATTTTAACTATTTTTATTTATATTCATTTCTTTTTAAAGTAAATACTAACTAACCAATATATTTTATTTTACTGTAAATAATCATTATTTTGTTTAGTTTTTTATTTTATTTTTATATTATGATTTCCTTTATATATTTTTTTAATAATCATTATATCTTTTTATCAATTATGTTTAATCATTTTTATTTTTTTAACTTATTATTTATTTATCTAGAAACCTAACCCATTTATTTAAAAACTTAACCAAGTTTTTAATTCAATAACTTAACAAGTTATATATATAAAATTATCAACATTTATCATACTAATTATAATTCTAAAAATTCTTCTACTAAATTTTCCTCCAAAATCTCCAACTTCTTTCTCCATATTTCTTATAATAACAACAATAATAACTAATGAATTTTTTTTTTTAGAATTTAATTGAAATATATTATTAGTGTAAAAAATTTTTATACTGTGAATTAATTATAACCGTTAAATTTTATATATTTTTTGTTTTATATATTTTTAATTCACAATTAATTCTTTAATCAACATATTTATAATAATATATTCTAACCTATTAAACTAAATTACATTAATTGTTAATTATAATAATAATTTTATAAACTTTATCCATTACATAAGAGCGTGATATTTTTTTACTAAAATTATCAATAGAAAAGCTAAAAATTACTGTTGTAAAAAAACAAAATAGCAGATATGTGCCACATGACAGATGCAAATAAAAATAAACGGCTGAGATTTATTCTTCACTTTCATTGTAAAATCACAATAACAAGCATTTCCGATTACAAAAACCTACCTGTATGTTTTGAGCCGCCGTGCACTGATTTCAACTATCCGGAAAACTCAAAGACAGTCCGAAAACGCCGGTGAGGTTGTTTGTAGGAAATCAGACTACCACAAACAGCGAGTAACTTCAGGTTTTTCTTTTTTGTCCTTTCTTTCATTTCACACATTTTCCTTTCCCAAGTTTGTAACGCGCGCGAGAGTGCGATAGCCGCAGATGTATTAGGAGACTTATTCATGTTGAATTGATTAAGAGTTTTTGATTAAACCTTGTGTTTTGATAATTTGATTTATGAATCTTTTATGGAATTATTATTGAGTTATATTTGTTTGATTTATGTTTATAGTTATTATTCATTGCCGACAGCTATGAAAAAAAGTTGTGTATGTCGTGTTTGGGGTGTGTGTGCTTCATAGTTATTCCTATAATTTATCTAAAAGGTAATTAAATAGTGGTCATCCCGCGATTCGGAATTGATAACTTTTCATGGTATAAAACTTGCATTTGTTTTTCTTGACCAAAAATTCAATAAGGAGTGCACTATTCTTTTGAGGTATATTCTTAGTTCATTACTCAGGAATTTCCTACAACATATGCTTAAATCGGATAGAAGTTTACTCAAGCATCTTTTGTTTAGTTATATCAAGAGAATAATGTTGAGAGGGGTGGATCACCTTGTTATTCTGTTACTGGAAAGAGTAGGGATCAGAAAGATTGAGTATCTACTTATAAGAGCCACTTGGCTAGGCTGATAGTTATTACACTATCAGATATCACTATTCCATTCAGCAATATTCATCCACAATTCCTTTTACAATTCTTGGTCTCTTATTATGAGCTGCCCACATGGCTACTGTTTCTTTGGAGCTTAAGTTTAAGTTTTTGGTTTTGTTTTATTAAGGACTGTTTTGCTTTTGCTGTTTTAGAATTTGGTCTTGTGGGTTGGAAAGTTTTGGACAGTCTGCTTGCGTTGTTCTCTGTAGGGGTGCTGTCATGTTTTAGCTGTTGTTTTGGGTGACCTTTGGTTATTTAGTTAGCGTCTTTTTCTGTCTTTCTTTGGCTTTGTCTTGCTGGGATTGTGTCTAGAGGTTCTGGTTCTCAATTTTTCGGCAGTGTTACCTGCTAGTGCAGTGCTTTTTATTTTTCTCCCCTTATCCAGGTTTACCTTGTGCTCAGGTCTAAGTGTATTGATAAATTTCGCAGTTTAAGAATAAAAATAAAAATAAATATGTAGTTACTTATTTTGGGTTCATTTTATTGAATTTTGCTTAAGACCGTCTCGGCTGTCATTGAAGTGTGTTGTTTAGAAAACTTTAAAAGGGACTTGTGGGGATGAGGGAGCTAGAAGATAATTTATTCCTGCATAATTTCTCTGTTGTTGTTCTGATTTTGGGTTACTTGTGAGGACTTGAGTTATGATTCAAAATTAACCATGTGTACTTGCTGCAGACTTGGCCCTTCGTGTGCCTGAATCTACTTTCTATTATAATAAAATTAATTTTTTTTTCCTTTTCAAAAGAATTTTAACCGGGCACGATCAAATCTCTAAATGATTGCCTTCCAATTTTACTTAAATTTATCTTGATCTATTATTGTAGACATATACAAATATAATCGCTAACTAGTTAGAAAATAAAAATATATATTAACTTGATTTGTTCTTAATGCTGTTCAGGTTTCAAATTGAAGACATGAATGCGTTCAAAGCATACAAGGCATGTGTCCCAATTGCTTATAGCCCCAATCTATACATTACTCTGGTGAGGGGTATTCCGGGGACGAGGAAGCAACACAGGCGCACTTTGGAAGCATTACGTTTGGGCAAATGCAACCGAACTGTCATGCGATGGAACACACCTACTGTTAGGGGAATGATCCAGCAGGTTTCAACACAAGCTCTATCAAATCCGTCGTGAAATGATCTATGTCCTTGTATACTAACATTGGTAAACTTTGTAATTAATATAGGTCAAGAGGTTAGTTGTTGTTGAGACAGAGGAGATGTACAAGGGCCGCAAACAGAAGGAGGAAAACCACCGAGCTCTCCGTCCTCCATTGGTCATAAACCATCAACCTGCTCCTGCTGAGGGTGCCTTGTAATGTTCAATGTGTTTTTAATGGTTTGGTCTTCTTACTACTATAACTTTCAAATGCCTAAGTTGTGGGCTGTGCCTCACACGGGGTAACTTGCTTTGAAGGTCATGTTTTAGTTTTGAATCTATAATTTTGTAGCTGTTTCGACTGATGCAACAACATTAGTCAAAATTTGAAAACAGGCTATCAACTTCAGTTTGGAATCATTAATTCCATAATTTCTTGTTTCTTTAGGAAACAACTTTACAATGTAGTTGGGCTTTGTTATATACTACTTCCATCTTTAAATACTACTTCCATCTTTAGGAAACAACTTTACAATGTAGTTGGGCTTCCGCACGTGTAATTTCATTCATATTTTAGATCATTCGATAAGATTTGGTTGTTAATGATTATAAATTCAATATGTCTAATAACTACAAATATTTACAAATATCATTAATAACTATAAATATTTAATATTTTGTTTATTAAAATAAAAAAGGGATTGTGGTGATAATGTCCCATGAAAATATCAGATTGCATGTTGGCAATAACATGTATCAAAACATTTTCATTATTTATCTATAACAAAATATTGAATAAGAACATGTTACCAAAAAAATGTATCACATAAATATTTAGATGCAAATGTCTCATTATACGGATAACAGATCAAAACATACATGAGTTTACAAGTTGCATTAGATTTATTGGTGTTTTTAATCCTGACAGCACTGGATCATTTACATATGACAGTAAAGAAAGAATGGATGAATTAAGTAATACAAAGATAAAATATATTACCAATCCTATAGAGAAGTATCAGAATAAAGAATCTAAAAAGCATGAGTCTGCATATGTATTTCTGTCTCCCGAACTAAAATTAAAGGTTATGCATTTTTTCCCGAACTTACAAGTTTGAAACATTTAAGAAGCATGTGCAGGTACTTAAATACACCATTTATAATCCATGTAGTGATACTCACTTATAGAGAAACAATTTGTACTTTGGATGAACTCTCACTAAATTGATTCAATAAACTATCTAGTGAAGAACTGTGTCTGCACGCCTAAGAGTCGTCATATTGCTTCAAGGACCTGCATAAATGCATAAGCTTCATTTGATAATAAACTTAGATTGAAAAAAATGGAATTTCATGCTAGTATTCATGACAACTGAATAATTATGGAAGATAATATGTTCTTGCTTAATATTATCAATTAGAATAGCTCCATGTTTTGAAAACTGAATAATTATGTAGATGACAACAGAGGAAAAATATCTCATCCCAAAAGTAAGTTCGGAAAAAGCTTGACAAGATACAGTAGTATCAGTTGATATACCTTAATCTCTAACAATGGAATAGCATAACCATACAAAAACTGACACTATATCTATGAAAAAGAACAAACCTTGAAGAATTACTGGAAGGGTTGTACGACAGTCATTTTCTCATATCCATCATCCTTGACTCCTTTTAATGATAGTGGAGAGACTGAACACTGGTCGAATCTACAACATCATATCTCAAAATATCCGACATACAAAATACAGGAGCAAAACAATGCAACAAACTATGATAGGAATCCTATCATAGGATCAACATTCTTGAAATGTACACCCTTGATCCCAATTTCAGCTGCTACCTCCACATTTTTTTGCCTGAGAACACAATAACTATATAAGATGACTCACACTTTAACATAAACTACTTCAATAACTAGATAAAACATGTGTAGAAAGATTAAAAACCTGTCATCTATGAAAATACAATATGCTGGATCAACTTGAAGATGCCTCACAACTTCCATATAGAATTCACTATCTGGTTTCCTCTTTCCGAAAACATAATGAAAATGGCTTAAAAATATTTCTCATGATGTTAATTATTTTTTGTCTCTAAACCGAGACCTCGTCGAATGATCCTTGTCTTTCTCATGATGTCATTACGTTGGGCAAAATACTCATGTCTAAAAATTTGTCCAACACTAATCCTACTCCTTAGGTTTACTGTTAGACACTTGTCTATTAAATTAAACAGTGATTTCGGAACTTGATCCAATTATTAATCTTTTTTCAAATTCTATCTTTAACAAATTTAAAAGTAGTTTTCTTGCTTCTCTTCCTATTATATATGACATTCCTAAATACTTACCTATTCCCAACACCTTTTGAACTCATAGAGTATCAACCAAAGAATTCCTAATAATCAGACCAATATTCCTACTATAGAAGACTTTAGATTTTTGAAATTTTATGGCTTGTCTTGAAACTTCCTCGTACGTATTAAGAATATCCTTCATCACATTAGTTTTATGCACAACCGCTATAAAGAAGAGAAAACAATCATCAGCGAAAAAAGATGAGATATGACAGGAATATTCTTACATATTTTAATCCCGTGAATATCCCCCTGCCTTTGGCTTGCTTGATGAGAGCTGATAACTCTTCAAAACAAAGAATAAATAAATACGAATCTAAAGGGTCCCCTTGCCTCAAACCCCTACCTGAAATGATTGACCCTACCATATTACCATTCATGCACACAAAGTAGTCCACAATTTTCACACATAACATGATTCACCCTACCCATTTCTGAATGATGCCCATAGTAATAAGAACATCCTTCAGATAATCCCAATCAATTTTGTCATAAGCTTTGCTGATATCCAACTTAAGAGCTATATCCCTTGCCTACCTTTAGTTTTAGTCTTCATATAATGAACCACCTTAATAGCTGCCATGGAATTATCCAGAATAGATCTACCAGGAACAAAAGTCGATTGATTATCCGAAATGCACTTATCCCTAACTCTATTGAGACGGTTAGCAAGAACCTTGACTATTATTTTATACAACACATTACACTAAACTATCGGTCTCCAATCCTTCAGGGACGTTTGAACTTCTTCTTTAGGAATAAGAGTGATATTAGTCGAATTAAGACTGGACGGGAAGTCACCACTTTTCAACCAAGAGCAACTGGCATTAAAAATTTCACTTCCACAAGTATCCCAAAATTGATGATAAAACCCCGAATTGAAATCAACCGGGCCCAGATTCTTGTCAACTTGCATAGAAAAAACAGCTTCTTTAAATTCCTCCAAAATAAACGGAGCTGCAAACAAATCATTATCCTCTTCTGAAATGGAGAGTCCAATAGCCTGTAGGACCCGATCACGAAAACTATTTTTCTTCTGAAATAAATTTGTAAAATAATCAAGAGCAATTTTATACATTTCTTCAGTTGAAGTACCCATCTCTCCATTATCATTTAAAAGAGAGAGAATAATGTTTACTTTTTTTCTAGCAGAAGCTGAAATATGAAAGAATCTAGTATTGAGATCTCCATCCTTAAACCAGTGAACTTTGGCTCTTTGCTTCTAAAACATGTCTTCTTTGACCAGTAGAGAATACATATGTCTTTTAAGGGCTGAAAAGTAATTAATATTTCCTGCACCCACATGATAACGAACTCTATCCATCTTCCTACTCTTGCTCATAATTTCCTTTTTGATCTTATGACAATTATCCTTGCTCCACTTCAACATGCTTTCACTACAAAGTTCCAGTTTACCAATAATATCATCCATCTAATTTTTGTGCCATTGCTCAATAATAAAGTCCTAGAAACCTGGTTCGGTTATCCAAGCATTCTCAAATTTAAACTCTTTAGGAGACTTATGAATCCGCACGCTAGCATCACAACAAAGCAATATAGGGGGGGGGGGGTGATCACACACTTTGGATTCCAATCTCCGAACTAATCATCTTCAACAAAACCACTTCATAATCGAGACACTCCATTTTTGTCACATAATTAGTCTCGATTTCAATCTTTATTTCATAGGTTCGGCTTCCAATCTCCAGATTTACCATTTCACAATGTATTTCACTCTTTGAATGAAATTAAACTTATTATTTTTTTGTTGATAAAAGTCATTAATTAATCAATCAAAGTAATATAAATCAAAGTATAATAATTATTATGTATACATAAATGCCATAATGCCAATATAAAATGTCAGTGTCATAATCAATTCAATCACAAATCATAATACAAAATCATCAAAATTAACAAAATAAAACACCACTGTTTAGTATATCGGACACCCCGTTCCTCCTCTGCTAGCGGTACTATAACATATTTCGTGCATATACTAAGATGGCTTGTAGAGTTGCCATATGAGGGATGCCCTCAATAAATTCACCCCTAGCTATGACCTTTATTTCAATAGTCATGATATGTGACATGCAAGTAAAACATCAACGACATGGTCTGCTCTCACATGTTCCTCATCTGATTTTTACTGATGAACGAGTCTCGGGGAATTTTCCTTTGCATCTGATGTCATGAAAGGGTGTGACAATGTATAAAATTATTGGATGTAGTCGTATGGACGAGGAGTTAACACACATCGTATACGAGACATCCTGTGGCACCATGACCAAATTACACTACAAAGATCTCATAAACATTTATGCGGAGGACAATGACATGAGTAACAATGGCGGAGTTTCTATGTATACCATGTATATATCCAAATTGGCGCATGAATCGCTCCTGTTGATGGGGTACATAAGTCGAGACCCAAAGGCCAACCATCAAAAGTACAATGCCATCACATTCAAAGGTCGTGTCTCAGTGATCACCATATGACATCTAGTTAATATCATCCACCATGATGCGTTCAAGAGCAAGTCGAAATGACTTAGTCGTTTGGTTTCCTTAGAGCGGGATGATCGAGCACGCACATGGCAAGGCCTCCGAGTAGTCATCCACATACTCCCAATCGGTGAGACATGGAAAATATTGGTGAATACATGCTTGAAAATGGTTCAAATGAAATATTAGTAATAGAACATTGTAGCATAAGTATTATGATGTTAATATAAGTAAAGGTGCAAAAAACAATAAATAGACAATTATTTTCAATCAACTATTGAGTGTTCTACGTACTACCCTTAACTAGTTTGGAGTATAGGTATACCAAACAAGATACACTTAGTTATACTAATGTAT